AATCGTTGTTCCTTTCAAGAAGTTATGATAACTGTTTATGGGCATTTCTCCGATGTACTTTAGGAGCCTGTCTTTCCACTCGTGTGTACAGAGTAAAAACCAAATGCACCTTAGGATGATGCAGTTCACATTAGCATTAATCGATGTTAGGCTGTGTATGAAATGAGCCTAGAAGAAGAGCAGAAGACAATTGCTGTTGTAAACTACCGATCTTGTTTAGTTCGACTAGAAACTTTTCAATTCTACATTTTTACCCGATATGGCCTGACCATTGGTTTTTATCAAATTTTTACCGCCTGTTTCGGAGTGATTTTTTGGCTCAAAAAATTAAATTTTTGATCGTTATTTCACTATTCTAACCGTGATATTTGACTTCTTCTTTTACAGGTGAACCCTACTTTTCTGCTAACGGTCAAAAAATCAATTCTCAAAATTACTCCCAAACAGGCTTTCAATCACACATTTCATAAAATTTTATCAGAATTTTCTAGAAATTTCATTTTAATTTAAATGTAAACTTGGGCCAACTCTTCAAAATTGAACCAAGCATTAGTACACAAATATCTCCAAATTGAAGGAAGCATAACAAAACTTGGCATCATCAAACTAGTTAAGTACCCGGTGATCCATCATCCACATCAACCTAAGAACATAAAATAAAAGAAAACAACACAATTAAAACATTAAATTCGGAAAGCAGCAAAATAAAAAATGAAACTATTGGGCGATTTTGAAGTGAAAAAGTTTGGATGATCAGAAAATACCAAGAATTTTCGAGATGTAATTGTTGCAGGGTGGGCATTTCCTTTATTGAAAACAAAGCTCCCTTGAACACAGCCTATTTGGGGTTCAAGATTTTTTTCAATTTTTACCCAACCCACTAGCTTTACTTCATTAAAGTCCACAAATTACATAAATGACTATACTTGGACTTGAAGGATTATTGTTACGTGTTGTCATACTTGGCTAATCTACTTGGGCCTATGGCCCACTCAATCCGAACCACATGACACTCTAGTCGAGGTCGCCCTACATGCGGAGGCCCATATATCGAGGCCTGTGAAAATAGCCGAAGTCCATATGTCGAGGCCCATATATCAAGGCCTGTGAAGATCATCGAAGCCCTAAAGCGGAAGTATTGCGTGAGTGACAGAAGCCCTGAATCCGAAACCGAAGCAGAAGCCTCCGAACCATGAAGGAACGTCTTCCATGATCACTTCTCCCAAGAGATCTTCTACATAAAGATCTTGTTTGAATGATTGATGGAACGTTTGTCATAAGTGTACATGTCAACTCTTGTCATTAGCATGGGGGTTCTGCATAAGCAATAAATACGCAGCAAGCTAGCAAATCAAGGATGATGCTTAGGATTGGATGTTTGGATTAAAGAGATGAGGCCACGTGCCACATCATCCAAGGGTTGTCATTTCACATGTACCACTATAAATACTTCCTTTGTGTAACATTAAAGGGCTAATGCAAGAATCAATACAAGAAACCACACTTTACTCTCTCTTTCATATTATCTTGCAACACAATACGAGGTCATACATATTTACGTGCACATTCATGAGCACCGATTGGTAATTATTATACAATCGGATTACGAACATCCCGTCGAATTTCGAACGTTCTCGTCCCGCGTCGTTGAGCTACTCCCACGCCCCTGATCCGTTCGTCCTAGACTGCACACCTGTCTTAGCATGTAGGACCTTCGCTCACGTGTGCGTCGGTGGTACGGCATCTGTTGACAACATTTTTTGGGGTCAACAGATTGGCGCCGTCTGTGAAAAATCATACCATAACCACGAACAACCTTGTGGTGAAAGTTTATTGAAGAGCATTTGGGCATTCCCCTTGAAAAGGATTTGTTCTTGAAAAAGAACAAGAGGAAGCCCCACAACTTAGCAAAATCTGAAGAGTCAGACGAAAAGAAAATGAGTTCAAATGAAGACACATCCCCTAGGAGGGTAAGAGAAAACGTAAATGTGCCTCCTCCACCCGCTGCCCCAGCAGCTCGGCAAAGACTCCACCACCACCAAAGAAGAGGTGGAATTTAGGCGACGACACGGCTGTCAAGAGAAATGGCTGCCATGGCGGCCAACATGAGAGATATTGCTAGCCAAAACTTGGCTATGAGGGAGCTCATGGCCCAAATGCAGGGCCAGGGAGGCTTCCCCATTTCTCCATACGCCTCTCAAGGGCACTACCACCAAAAAGATGAAATTCAAAGTTATAGAGCTATCCCGCCGGACTACAGCTGAGGTGGAAGCCCATTTGAAAGGGAAGTGGAAGTTGATGTTTCCTCCAATTACGCTTTTGGCCGACCCACTGAGGTTCCATTGAACCATGATAACTTCCCACCTCCGTATGAGCAAGAGTCAAGACATAGGAGGTTAGGCAGTGTATTTGATAGAATTAGCCCCGCTGAACCGATGCTTAGGCAACAACAGACTCACCAGCCTTGGACAAGGCCACTGCCTCCACCTCCAATGCCTTAGCAGTCGGAAGAAAGGCATGAAAACACCCCCCGTGTGCTCCGCCTAGAAATAGGCGCCAGAGGAGGGAGGAAGAGGTTAGGAACCGTCCCGTAACCTCTCACCAACAACCACGGCATGAGGCCGACGAATACGATTCAGATGAGCAACAGAGGTCCTGTGACTTGGACGATGACGATGAGAATTTGCCGTTCTCAAGAGAACTAAGGAGCACCCAGGTTTCAAGCCACTATGTAATGCCAAAGTACGACGGAAGAGGCGACCCAGGGAAGCACCTGAATGCTTATAAAACTCACATGAGTCTAAGGGACGCCACCCCAGCTGTGAAGTGCAGAGCTTTCCATTTAACACTTAGTGGAGCGGCTGAAATTTGGTATAGTAGATTAACACCTGGAAGCATAAGAAGCTGGCCGGAGTTCAAGACAACATTCTTGAAGAGGTTCGCGGTATGCAAAGAAGGAGAGGCCCCCATCTAACGTCTCCAAGACATGAGACAAGCACAAGGGGAGTCCCTAAAGAGCTTCCTATCCCGCTTCATCGATGAGATGATGTATTGCGTGCAAGTTATCGACCGTGAGGCACTATTCGTATTAAGGAGAGGTCTGAACATGAATACCCTATTCTGGAGGGAAATGCAAAATGAAGATCCCACCACCTATGATGCCCTACTCGAGATGATGAGGAGGGAAATCATCAATGAAGAAATGATTGAGCATAGGAACAGGGCAATTAGAGGCCTCCCACCTCCTCAAAGGCAGCGTGCTAGACGGCCGACCTCCCACCTGATGGACTACCAAATGAACCAGGCTGGAAATGAGAGTTCTGGCCAAGCACTTGCCACCACCACTTTGAACGCGGTTCCTACCTTGACATATGAGGATATCAACCCAATTACCGGCACCCAGCAGATGGAAACCCCACAAGGATCTCGTAGGGGGAGAGGCCGAGGCCGGGGTTCGGGACCTAGAAATAGGTCAAATCAGAACCCATCGGGATACTGTGTACACTACCGGTCCTATGGACACGACACAGCAGATTGTCGAGACTATGCGCACTGCTCCCGGCTAGAGCCCCCTAGGGACAGAAATGAATCGCCCCAGGCGAACAGGCCCCCGACCAGGCACGACAATTGACGTGGGCGTGAGGAGGCTGCTCTCCGTCAAAGGGATGTTTCCCCACGACGAAGGGAGTGCGATACAGAGAGGCCCAGAGAAGGGCACAGGCACCGAAGAAACCGACAAGCCCAGGATGAGGCCCCTATCCACGAGGTGGATACCATATTTGGAGGCTCGTATATTGGCGGTGAGACACGAAACGCCAAAAGGAATTATGCCCGGGAGGCTAAACACCCCCTTTGGTAAGCTACATTGTGGACAGCAGCTCCCGGAGGAACCAAGTTTCACCCATTGTCTTCACCCAGGAGGATGTCGAAGGAGTTCACTACCCCCACTGCGATGCACTTGTTGTGAGAGTTGTCATAGCCTGAAATGGGATCAAGCGAATGTTAGTTGACAACAGTAGCTCTGTCAACATTCTATTCGGATCAGCCTTTGACAAGATGATAATAGATTATCAGTTGACGCCCACCACAACTCCTTTATACGGATTCACCGGAGATAGCATCACTGCAAGGAGAAAGATAACACTTGTAGTGGAGATGGGATAGTCTCCCCAAACTACGATGAATTTCATGGAGTTCCTCATTGTCAACAGTCAATCGGCCTACCATGGAGTATTAGGTAGGCCAACCCTAAAAGAATTGGGAGCAGTCACCTCCATCCACCACCTATGCATGAAATTCCCAAAGGAAAATGGGGTGGCAATGGTGAGAGGCGACCAAAGAGGATCCAGAGAGTGTTATTTAAGCTCCATAAAAAAGGTAGAGCCCCGAAACGTCCATGTAATCATAGCCAATATAGTCATGGTTGATGTCCCAGGTGATGCTCCCACTGAACCAGAAGATATCGATATGATTGATGCACCACCCAATCAGGAGGTATTGATCATTGATGAGATCGATCCCTGCATAATTGAACATGAACCTCAAGTATCCCCAGTTGAGGAACTTGAGAGCTTCTCGGTAGACCCCCAAGACCCATCCAAGGTGCTGAAAGTAGGCAAGGGCTTATCCAACATTTTGAAGAAAAAGATTAAGGAGTTCCTAAGTAGGAACCTTGATGTCTTTGCTTGGAGGCATGAGGACATGGTAGGCATAGACCCCAAGGTCAGTTGTCACCACCTGAAAGTCGATCCTAAGGTTACCCCGCATAGACAAAAAAGGAGAGCCCTCAATCCTGAAAGATACGAGGCTCTGGGGAAAGAGGTTCAGAAGCTCATCCAAAATGGATTTATTAGGGAGGCTACCTATCCGAGATGGGTCTCCAACTCGATTTTAGTGAAGAAACACAACAACAAGTGGAGGGTATGCATCGATTTCACCAACCTCAATAGAGCTTGCCCGAAAGACAGCTTTCCTCTCCCAAGGATTGACCAACTAGTAGACTCCACGGCTGGGCACGAGTTGTTGAGCTTTATGGACGCATACTCCGACTACAACCAAATACCCATGCACCCGGCCGATGAGGAGCACACCTCTTTCATCACAGACCAAGGCCTTTATTGTTATAGGATGATGCCCTTCGGGTTGAAAAATGTCAGAGCGACTTACCAAAGGCTCGTCAACAAAATGTTCATGGACCTCATCGACAAGACATTGGAGGTATACATGGATGACATGTTGGTAAAGAGTGCACCTCAACAGC